CAGCCCGCCCAGGAGCAGGTGCACTGCCTGGCCGGCCAGCCCGCGCCGCCCCGCCCCTGGCGGTAGCACTTGCCCCACCCTCCCATCCGGACCTTGACGTCAAGGGGGCCGCGACCAGGAGCAACGCGGAGCCTGCGTTCCCTAGGAAACGGAGATGGGGGTGGGAAAAGTGCTCCTCTGCTCTTACATCATCACGCTACGATTCGTGCGTCCGGCCGGAGAATCTGAGGAAGGAAGGACTCGGCTAATCCGAAGGGCAAATGTAGGAAGTGACATTTATTGAGCGTTGTCTGTGTATTAGTACTCCTGGCCTTACAAGGCCTTATATTTTGTACACGAGGAAGCAAAGTCATAGTGTTTGCTGACACCAACAAGGTGGCTTCGAGCCAACTCATTCGGACCACCCTCAGCCACAGACTCCAGATCCCTCTCCACCCGAGATAGCCGTTGGCCCTTTCCTGGAGCTACGGGAGTCTTGAGGAACGGCCCCAACGCCGGGGTGCTTTTCGTAGAGATCCACCGGTAAGAATAATCGAGCCAGCAACCAATCAGAGTAGAAACCTGCGCACAAATTTCCGAAGGCTACTCGGGTGCGCACGCGCGAAGGGCACTGGGCGGGGCCTGGGCCTCGGGACCCGCCCGAATATCACGCGCTTCCTCTTCCGACCAGCGGCTGGGCAACGGCGCGGGCGGGAAACCTCCACCCGCTGCTTTCCGCTAGGTGCCGCCGCGGCAATGGCAGGCGTGGGCTCTCTTGTGTTGCGGCCCTGGATTCGAGAGTTAATTCTGGGGTCAGAGGCACTCTCAAGTCCGCAAGCGGGGCAGCTCCTTAAGGTAAGCCCTCACTCATGGCCCGGAGACCCAGGCGGGGGGCGGAGGCCGGGGTGGTGAGATTGACGCCGGTCACCGCCCTCAGGTGTTGCAGGACGTGGTGACCGCGGGCCCGTCTCACGCCCCTGACATCCTTGACGGCGGAGCCATGCTACTTGTGTCCGACGGGACTCACAGTGTCCGATGCCTGGTGACGGGAGAGGCCCTGAACACTTCAGACTGGTGAGAGGCCGTTGGGCTCCGGGAGGATCAAGCACAGCTGGAGAGGGCGAGGGCGTGGTTGAGCCCGAGGTGGGCGGGTCCGGTGTCCTGGAGAGCTAAGTCCTGAGGGTCGACTGCCCCTGCAGGGAGGAGAAGGAGTTCGGTTTCAGCGGGACCGAGGGCCGGCTACTCCTGCTTCAAGTCTGTGGGGTCCGCATCCAGATTGCTGATTGTGGGGCGGTGAGTGGTGAGGCCGGTGTGGGCGGGTTCTGGATGTTCTCCACAGTTCTTAAGTCCTGCCCCACACCAACTTCTGCAGCCGGCGGAGTTCTACCTCCAGGTGGACCGCTTCAACCTGCTGCCCATAGAGCAGCCCCGGGTACCGGTGACTGGTTGGTAAGTGATGCCTCCAAGGGACATGGGTGTAGCTTAGTAGCAGAGTATTTGACACATGGAGACCCAGGCTTTAATCGCCAGCACAGAATGTGGTGGGTGTGCCTCCCCCTTCTATCTACCAGCTCTCCCCACCCAGTATGAAGCCTGGCTGGTGTTGGCATAGGCATTTGGATGGGAGGTTTTGGGTGTCTGGTAATATTGACTGTTTACCATTCTCCACTTTTCCCCAGCAACCAGGACCTGGATGTGCAAAGAAAGCTCTACGACTGCCTTGAGTAAGTCTGGGCTTGGGTTCTGGGGCTACGTGTGGTCTGTTCAAGGGGTGGCAGATGTGGGCAGACAGGCCCTAGGATTGTTCCTGAGGCCTGTCCACTCTGTTTCTGTAGGGACCACCTTTCAGAGTCCAACTCTTCCAATGCAGGTACTGGTAGGGTTGTCCAGTAACCCTACCTAACTGTATGGCATAACCTCTCTTGCCATCACCCTGTGCTTCCTCTCCACATTCTACTTTTCTTTCTTTTTGATCTTCAATCTACTGTCTGGTCCCTTGTCCCAGGCTTAACACTGTCCCAGCTTCTGGATGAGGTACAGGAGGACCAGGAGCATCGAGAGGCACTGGTGCGCCTGGCTGAGAGCTGCCTGATACTGACAGGCCCTTGCACGGCACCTCCCCTCACCCACTGGGCTGTCTCTCGCTGTGGGGCTACGGTCAGTCTGGGGCTTCCCTTGGGAAGTGTCAGGGTGAGGAGTTGGGTAAGGACCAGGCTGAGAGTTTATGTGCTATAGGAAGAAGCCCTGTACACTGTCCCCAGCTTATTGCTGCACATCTCTGAGAATGACCAGCAAATTCTGAACTCTCTGGGCTCAAGTCAGAGAGCACAGGGTAAGGAAAACTAGAGAGGTCATAAGGGGAGTTCCTGGGGCCCAGAACCCACACTGCTGATGAGCCACCCCAGAACCCCCAGGCCCTGTGCTGTGCCCACCACAGTGGCCTCTGCAGGACTCATCTCTGACCCTGATCTCCTGACCATCCATACCCAGTTCTTCTGGGGAGGAGCTCAGACCAGAAGCACACTCTGTCAGTCATCTTCCCAGGCTACGCAGGATGCTGTGGAATAGTGTGCAGCGGGTGGGGCAAACAGGCCTTACAGGTTTTCCTAAGTCACAGGCCACTCAGCAGCTATGAGCTGAGAGGGCTGTGCCCAAAGTGTGTCCCCTCTTCTTCAGGGGCCCCCGCCTTACCTGGGCATGAGCTGTTGGAAGAAAGCAGTGCCACTGTCAGCCTTCTGCCTGCCCCACCCTTGGCTGCTCCAGACCCAGTGCAGAGGGATAGCTCCCAGCCCTCACCAATTATCTGCTCAGCCCATGGCCCCCTGCTTCCCACTTCCCCACACTGCAGTCATACACCCAACTCTCCACACCTGAGCTGCACCCCCAGTCTCCCATCCCTTGGCCAGGCCTCCAGTCCACATCAGGCTCAAATTACCAAGCTCCAGAAGCCTAACCTAGAATTTAAGGAGCAAGAATCGACCCCCAACAACCAGCAGCCTTCTCTAAGGACCACAACCAAGAAAGCCCAGGAACCCTGTGCTGCGTGGGTGAGCACTGATCCTCTACAACTGGAGAGGAGAATGGGGAGGCCTTTAGATAGAGCTGGAAGGGGAGTAGGGATAGCTTTGGATGGGATTGAGGCACCTTGTTGGCCCCTTCCCAGACACCATATCCCTTTCAGGATCCCCCCAAAAGGCATCGTGATGGTTCTGCCTTCCAGTATGAATACGAGCCACCTTGTGCTTCCCTCTGTGCCCAGGTCCAAGCTGCCAGGTGAGTACCCAGCGATTCTCCCTCTCTCTTTGTCACCAGTCCCAGGCCACCTTGACATGAAACTGTGGTTTCTTCCAGGTTACCTTCCCAGCTTGTGGCCTGGGCATTGCATTTTCTGATGGAGCCAGAGTCTGAGCTAACTCAGGTGTGAAGAATCATGCAGGCACATTGGCGGATATGGACACACAAGTCCAGGCAAGGACAAACAGTGCTCCACACTCTGTTTCCTTCAAGTTTTTTAATAAAATAATTTCATGCGGCAGGAGAGGAGAGGATCAGGGGTTGGGACCGCCGCCTCTTTGGTCTGTGGCTGGGGAGGGTGGGCTCTGCTCAGGGCTAGAGGGCTCTGTGGGCTGTGGGGGTAGAGGCTCGGTTCCAAGGCCAGATCCTATGAGGCAGAAGAAGAGAGGAAGGGTGAGGGCTATGCTGAGCAGTGCTGCCACCCTACCAACTGGTCCTGGCCACCTCTTACCTAGGCTTGGAGACAGGGGTGCCTCGAGCTTCGGTCTACGCTTGAGGACTGGGGAGCGCTGCAGTCGCAGGGGCCGTTCTAAGGGGCACAGAAAGGCTTGCTGTCTGTCCATCTCCCATCCCTCTCCTCACCTCCAGTGCATGCAAGAGTGCACACACACTGCTGCCCTCAGCTTCCCCTTCCCCTGTATCCTCTACCCCTGACAGAAGTGGCTTTTGGGAGGTGGAGCCAGGGCAAGTAGGAAGGGCTTGTCAGACCTTTGCTCCTGGCCTTTTGGCTGATTTCTCCATCCTTCACACCACTGGTGGCCCCCTCCAAGGACCAGAACCACAATGGCAGCCCAGGAGCCCACCCTGTCTCCTGCACTCAAGCACACACGGAGGTGTTGCCCTCACCAGCAGGGGCCTGGAGCTGGTCCTCATGCACAGACACTGCTCGTCGCCCTGCTGAGAGAGGCCTCGGCCTCAGCTGGCCATCTGGGGGAGGCCAGGGTATCAGGGTATGCTCCCAACAGTTGCCCCCACTCCAGCCCTTGAGTTCCACCTTCAGGACCCCAGGGTAGGTGAGTTTCCAGCAGGGCCTCCTCCAATCCTCAGCCCAGGGTTGGGTGGGGGGTGGGATGCTTGCCTACCTTCATTCCTTGGGCCCAAGCAAGGGTCCTCCGGAAGGCCCAGGCTGTCAGCAGGGCTGGCTCTGCGGAGGTTTGAGCTGGGACAAGGTGAGGAGGGGGGGCCTGGACCATCCTGTTGGCCCCAACCACGGCCTCTGAGCTCTGCATTCAATTGCTGACCCAGTGTCTTCCAGGTGGCAGACTCGGGCCCCTGGGCCCCTGGCCCAGGTCTGCATGAGGGGTCTGCAGGGGAAAGAGTCAGCCAAGACCTGGGCCAGGCCTTGGAAATTGCAGTGGTCTGACTCACACTTTTTTTTTTGAGACAGGGTCTTGCTATGTAGTTCAGGCTGGCCTTGAACTCCCAGTGTAGCCCAGGCTGGCTTCCAACTCAAAATGGTCCTCCTGTCTCAGCCTCCCAAGTGCTGGGATTAGCACGCCACCACACCCAGCTGGCCCACTCTTATCTGTCCCTGTATTCCCCCTAGCACAAAGTGGCCCTCACTCACCAGCAGACACAGAGTGAGTTCGGGACTTGATTGAGATAGGTGGGGTCTCGATGGAGCTGTCCATTATGTCACCTGCAAGGTGGGGCTGAAGACTCAGGCAACAGACCATAGGGGTAAGGGGAAGAAAAACCTGGCCTCTTCCCCTCCCGCAGTAAAGCAAGTGCCTTGGGGACCATCTCTAAGGACACCCGCTACATACACTGCCTTATCCCAGGATCCCACTTACCATCTGAGCCAGCTTTCTTGATTTCACCATCTTTACTCTGTAGGAAACAAGGCAGTCAAACCCCAACCCCGCCTCCCTCACCCTATCCTTTTGTTCATTCTTGTTCTTCTAACCCAGTCACAGAAGGCCTTCTATGAACTGGGCAAGCACATGGTGAACCCAGTCCCAGCCCTCTGAGAGCTCACGGTCTGGGATGGCAGATGGCACACAAAAACATGGATGCACATTCATAGATAAATACATCATGTTCTTAGTTCTGCAATGTACTTTCCCCACTTCACTGTTTCTAAATGCAGGCAGGTCTCACATGTGTATTTTCTAAAAAGCTATTAAGTAGATGGTACATAGGGCTGTGGTTCTTAATAGGGACTGTGATCAGAGTGACATTAGCAAGATGGCCATAGAAGGGAATCTGAAGGCCCACAGGGAACTGCTGAGATGGCTCAGGAGGAACCTGGTGTAACCCATGACAAAATGATTCAGAGCAGGGCAGATCCAGAGTGGAGCACAAGAGAAAGGTCTGAGAAGCCCCAAGAGAGGAGAGCAAAAGTGGCCAGGACCAAGGTCCCATCAGACCTTGTAGCAGCAGGATTGGAAATGTGAACTTTGAAGACCCTGGACTTTCAAGTACAGGTGACAAGGTCAGATTTCTGTTAGATCTGTAGAGGACTTTCCCAGGTCCTAGGAGGATTTGTCATTGGCAGACACCAAGAGGGAAAGAAAGTTTAATCCCATGATTATTTTGACAGGGAAGGGAGTGAAACTAACAATAAGATCTATGTGTACTGAGTCTCTTCTTCCTGGTCACATGTCACCTATAGATTTGCTGTGTGTCACCTGCCCCCTCACTTTACACTCATGACCCCCCAAACTCACTTGCTTCCTCTTGCCCTCGGCACCCCCACTGCCCCGGCTCACACCGATCCTCTGCAGCATAACTTGTACCCGCTGTTCAAAAGATGGGGCCAACTCTGTGTCTCCCCGCTCCAGGGGCCTCCGCTGTAGACAGAGAAGGATGAGTCAAGACAGAACCCCTTCCCTGCGTCCCAAAAGAATCCTCGTCCTGTCACCAGGCCTCACCTTATCAGGTCTGGCATTCAGTGTCTCCTCCTCCTCAGCAGGCAGCAGTATCATTGAGTAGGCCTTGCTTTCCCGTGTGTACCGAGGCCTGCTTCTTCGGGCAGGGTCAGGGCTGCTGGGGCCCCCCTCAGCCCCACCAGACTCCTCACCACGGCCAGGACGGGCTGGAGGCCGCAGCAGGTCCCCAAGAGTGGTTTTTCGGGTGCGGGCTGCTGCACCAGGGCTGGTCTCTAGATCAGGCCGTGGACCCCGTGTTGAACGAGGCTTCTTAAAGGCAAAGAGGGTGCCCAACTTCTTTCGAAGTGTACGGGGGACAGGAGTGGCACCCCCTTCGGTGGCTGGGTCCTCCTCGGGGGCCCAACTGTAGGGACAACCAGCAGTGAGTGAAGAAGCCCATGGGCATCCCACCCTATCCCACCCCAGGCAACTGCCCCTCACTCACAGGCGATCCTGCTGGATCAGCCTTTTGGAGAAGAATTCCTCCACGCCCTCGTCCACGCGGGCACTGAGCCCATTCCCTTCCTGCGGCAGGGCTGGGGGCACCTGGGCAAAACCATGAGGTCAGGGTCAGGGTTGAGTGCAACTGTGGCTTCTCCCCACTCCCCTGTCTAGCAGTCTGCTGTGGGTAACAGCAGGATCCCAGACCTGGGGTAACCCTAAGGGGCTGCTCTTAACAGCTCTCCCACTGTCTAGTGCTAGGTTTCACACACTGCTTTCATTCTGCCCTTGCATACCCAGCCCACACTCATTCCTGTTCCACAAGTGAACTGAACCACCTGGCCCACCAGCAGGCTACAGCACCCCTGCGTCCCTGGGGTCACACATTCCACCTGCCAATCCCTCAGCTCCCAGCAGTTTCCTGCAGTACCCCCACCCCCACCCCAACCGGCCTACTGCCGGCTGCTGCGTCAGACCCTTGGGGGCCTCCAGCCGGCTCCTCCTCGACTTCCGCCAGTGCCCACTGCCCCCTTCAGTTCCCAGCCCACACACATCTCCACACATACACAGCTGGAAGCACGAGAGGCAGGACTGTCCCTAAGGCCCTGGGGGAAGAAGGGCAAGACGACGGACACCCCCCCCACACTCAAGCAGGCCATTCTGTGGAGAATACCTCTCCACCCAGAAGCATCCCACATGAAAACTGCACACCCGGGGTCCCATATCGGCACGGCCTGGGGTAGGGGGTATCCAGGACGAAGCCAGGATACGGCCGCACGACCAAGTGGCCTTGGGCTCCCACAACCAGCCTCCGTGCCCGCCATCACTGTGCGGAGCGACCCGAACAACCACGACCCCCAAGTCCATGAGCTCCGGCATGGGGGGAGGGCGCTCACCTGAGGGCCCCCCGGCGGCGGGCGGTGGTGG